GTACTTGGGTTGACAGGGTTAGCATTAGTACTATTAATGACCAACAACAATCTTACCGGTTTTACAGTTCTTGACAGTGCCTTCAGAACAGCTAAAGGATCCCTAGGCACATTAAAATAGTCTTTTTAGTATTACACTGACTCTTGATTTTCAATTGACAAAATCATTCTTTACCTTTGCTTTGCCAAACCAGTTCCTGTGAACATAGAATTCATAAGTTCATGCTGAATGACACTCAATTAGGTAGATAATCCCAATTACATGTACATTGTTGTTCGCAATGTGATTTTTGTTTTAACAAATGAGGGTGGAGGGGTTTTGTCACTTTTGAAAATACTCCAGTTTCGAACCTCTTTTATGCAAGCTTAGCTTCAATCAAGTATAAATTTTTATTGTCTTCTTTGTACACAGATTGTATACATTACAATAGATTCTCTGCTGTATAAAATAATATATTACATGCTTTCGAGGTTAAGGCTGCACAAATACGATCTCGAAACTGGAGTGTTCCCTTATTTTTTATAAGAATCTTTTATAATAAACCTATTCAAATTCTTACCAGAATCTGTACTATGAGCCTGATTTTCAGATAAATTAGAATTTGTAGCTACGYATCTAAAAATAATAAAGTATAAATAAATAGAACATTTCAAAGCATAACATACAAATTGTAGACAAGACTTTAACACACGTGCTATAAAATGTCAGCAAAAGTTGCCTGATTTCACAATAATAATGTCATTTTTGCTTCACAAAACTAGTGCAAATTATTCAGAAAGTTCCAATCTAATGCATACGTTAAACCCATACCTTAAAACAGAATACGAGAGRCGAAAATTACTTAATCTTCGAGACAAACTGGAGGCACTGCTGAGGGCAGCCATCTTGGATATTCAAYACTTGTTCCCAGGTCTCCTTGCTGTTTGGGGTCCCTGTGGTATGGTCATGGCGCGAATGGAAGTTTGTGTCGACTCGGTTGGTTCCGCTGTAAATGCCGAAAAAGGAGGCAAGTTTTTATATTTATATTTATTTGGTAGATAATACTAGATATTATTGCTTCCCTCAATTTTACGCTGCATTATTAGACATATTGTTCAGTGATTTAATGCGTGAAAGTTTAGTACCTTTGAGCTCGTTTACCGGTATTTTTAAGCTTAAAAGTTAATAACTTAATTAAGCTAGTTTTTTGTTCTTTTAATGTATTAAGCTTATTCAGCAAGGACAAGACTCGAGTAAAGCATTAAAGTAATATGCTGTGCTGTGAATTTGGCTAAATTTCCCAGATTCTTTCCTTTCATTGGAGACTCGTTCCCAGACCTCAAAATATATGATTTTGTGGAAAGGGGAGGGGTTAGTACTATTATAGAGATCTAAAGTGAGACACAATCTATTCTAATCAATTATAGAAGTTGTTGACAATGTAGTCAAACTACGCTGAAACAGAATCCAATTTTAAAGGATTTGTTTCCTGAATGAGGCATCAGGGAC